GTAAAAGAGGCTTGGCCCCTTGCTAGTGCGTAAGCACAAACATCGACCGAAGTCGCGCATGTCAATGCGTGTAAACGCCAAACAGAATACGAACGAATCCAGCCACAGTGAATGTACGTCACACGGTATAGGCAAATAGGCACACTGGCCGTAAACCCTCCGTGAGCGCCACCACCTGCCAGACCGCCGCTCCTGCAGACGTGATCTAAGTGTATGGCATCACCACCAATTGCATGATCAGCACGGCTACTAGCCGCAGAGGTGTCATGAGTTACCGTCACTAAGGGAAGTGCGTTGTGCGGCTTCCGCAGCCTTGAGAGTCTCCTGCTCCCCCACCCGCATGAGGTCGACACATATGCTCCACCAACCAATACAACGGCAGATATAGCCAAAAGGCAGTTATAAGATAAGAGTAATAATTCGCCATCAGAAAGGTTTTGTGTCACTGACGTTGAGTAAATGCATTTTCGATCATGTTTGTCTCACCCACCAACAAGTTGCCTTCAATCATTCAAAGGTGGGAAAGTTACAGAGATATAATATTGTGTTGTTATACAAAATATTGTGAAGGGCAGACAGTCTGCAGCCCCGTAATGAAGGGACCCGACTTGGGCAAAGCTACTCAGGCGTGAGTCAAACCAAGACGCAGAGAGCGCCATTGAGAATAGCGTCCCACCAAACAACCATCGCAAAGACGCAATGCTGCAGAACGCAACAAGAATCAATACGACTATCGTCGGGCTTACACCATCCCAAGGTCCCCCATACATCCCAGCAGACATCACCACCCGCATACCTCCGTCGACCAGAACCACAAGAGTGCGTCGAATCAGGCGCAACACACCCGCAGATCCATCACAAGACGCATTACCGCAAGTAGCAGTAAGCATCAATGCAACTATCATACGGATGGCGCCCCCTCACAACACACCCACATGACCCCTATCGATTTTGGTAACAAAGTTTTTATTGTTGTTATAAAAAATATCACCAACGTATCATAGTAGCACGCTACTAAGACGTCAATGAACAAAATTCCACGTATCATAGCGCTAATGCACTAAGACATGAAGTTGAGCATGCCTGTTACACTTAAAAGTGCTACCAAACACACTCATCATCCCAATCCGAAAGATAGACGACACATCGCTATGCGCGACGACGTCGCCCACAAACGGTATGGGTGTGCGATGTCCACGGGAAAACTGTATTGCTACAACAATCCCGCTTACCACCGGCACTAAGATGTTAATTGTATACCTCCATCGACCAGAACCACAGGAATGCGTCGAATCAGGCGCAGCACACCCGCAGATCCATCACAAGACGCAATACCGCAAGTAGCAGTAAGCATCAATGCAACTATCATACGGGTGGCGCCCCCTCACAACACACCCACATGATTCCTATCGATTTTGGTAACAAAGTTGGTATTGTTGTTATATATAAAAATATCACCAACGTATCATAGTAGCACGCTACTAAGACGCCAGTGGACAAAACTCCACGTATCATAGCGCTAATGCACTAAGACATGAAGTTCAGTATGCTGGTTACACTTAAAAGTGCTACCAAATACACTCATCATCCCAATCCGTGAGATAGACGACGCATCGCTATGCGCTACTACGTCGCCCACAAACGGTATGGGTGTGCGATGTCCACGGGAAAGCCGTATTGCTACAACAAACCCGCTTACCACCGACACTAAGATGTTAATTGTATACCTCCATCGACCAGAACCACCGGAATGCGTCGAATCAGGCGCAGCACACCCGTAGATCCATCACAAGACGCAATACCGCAAGTAGCAGTAAGCATCAATGCAACTATAATACGGATGGCGCCCCCCTCACAACACACCCACATGATCCCTATCGACTTTGGTAACAAAGTTGGTATTGTTGTTATATAAAAAATATCACCAACGTATCATAGTAACACGCTACTAAGACGCCAATGAACAGAACTCCATGTATCATAGCGCTAATGCACTAAGACATGAAGTTGAGTATGCCTGTTACACTTAAAAGTGCTACCAAACACACTCATCATCCCAATCCGAAATATAGACGACGCATCGCTATGCGCTACTACGCCGCCCACAAACGGTATGGTGTGGCGATGTCCACGGGAAAGCCGTATTGCTACAACAAACCCGCTTACCACCAGCACTAAGATGATATGTCTAGGACACATCGGTTAGCGAGTCCAAGTTTACCTCGGACCAATTGTTCGTGAAGCAGCATACACGCCACCATTATATTCCTTTTCAAGTCCCTAATAAGGACTAGTCATTTTGCTACAGCACTAGGAGCAGTCGGTCACCCGACCACTCCATACAATGCTTATGCATCAAGGAGACCCTCTATAATATTGCTTTTGTATCATAGACCTTACTTTCATAAATCATGCATATATAGGATTCGAACCCACAACCCTACTATTGTAATGCATATTAATCATAGAGACCTTCTATAGTATTGATTTTGTATCATAGACCTTACTTTCATAAGTCATTAATATATAGGGTTCGAACCCACGACCCTACTATTGTAATGCATATTAATCATAGAGACGTTCTATAGTATTGCTTTTGTATCATAGACCTTACTTTTATAAGTCATTAATATATAGGGTTCGAACCCACGACCCTACTATTGTAATGCATATTAATCATAGAGACCTTCTATAGTATTGTTTTTGTATCATTGAGTTTATTATCATAAGTCCCTAATATAGGACTAGTCATTGTGCTACAGTACTTCAGGCAGTCGGGCTCCCGACCACCCCACATATATGCACAACTGCAGGTATGTACCTCCGGCAGCTTCCTCCATACAAAACGTCTATACGTGAATTCCTTCCACAACTTAGGAAAATTTTCTTTTATACACGAACATTTCCCATGACTTAAACAATTTTTAACAAATTTTCTAATTATCTTTTAAACGTCATTTAACTTAATTTTATAATATTTTTTGACTTGTATTTCTATTATTTATCTTATTTTAAATATTTTTTCAAGTTTTTAAATGAATTTATTTATTACGAAAAACAATAATTTTGCCCTTAATTTACTATGTTATTGGGATAATGTCTGAAATATATTTACTTTATGTTTATTAATTTAACTTAATTGCTTAATATATATCTTTTAAGACTGTTTTTGACGCCCCTTTATATTGAATTTAATTATTAATAATAATATTGGGCCGTCACAATAACATAAAATCTCTAGATATTAATTCACAAATAATAATTTTAGATTTGGGTGTTAAGCGGTGCTACATTATCGGATTCAGAATCATTATTTTGTTTGGTTGTGTAAATTTTAAATGAGGTTGAGATAAAGTTTTTATGAATTTCACTTTAGAAGTGCTATAAATATTATTCTTTGTAAGGCCGATGTTACGGGATCGAAGGAAAAGCTTAAAACCCAAATATTCAAAATATAACAAGATTAAGAGAGAAATGATAATAATAATGATAGAATAATGTATCCCATGTTTAATAATGTGAAGTTTATTCTCTATTGTTTTTAGATTACTTAGTAAAGAATCAATAATTATTTTATTGTTTGAATTAAATTCATCCATATCTACATTTTGTAACTTAATAGGAGACACATTTTCTATAACATGGTTGAACTTATTAATATTACAACAAGTGTAATTGTTAAGGTTATAATCACGTATATAATTTATGTGTGAAGTAATATTTAGAACTTTATAAATAGGTAACAATGTAGTGCTTTTACAAAATCCCATATAACCATCAGGAATCGTAATTATGCCTGTACTCGGAATATTTGCCTGAAATAGTTGAGACTTAATACAATGTATAAAAATTTTATTTGGTTCGGATAGCATATAAATCCACTCATTATTTATTAATGGTATCCAGATATCCAATTTTCCGAAAATAAATTTAGTTTCGCACTGTAACGGAAAATCACTGATCACTTTAGATATAAGTTCACTTTCACAGGATGGTTTAGCGACCACCGAATACACGTAGTTTACCTCGCAGATGAATGTACATACCTCTTAGGGCCCAGACAAGTGACATTCGCTCCATGTCTAATATATTTCAAAAATCGATTTCGTCTTAGCGATATCGAACTTAAAGTAATAGACAAGGTGACATAATGCTAAGTCGAAGCGTTCATTCGATAAAAGTCAACTTCTTGGCTATGGTCTCGAAATGAAACGTCAAATTCAACTCGTCAATTGTTTTTACCAGGTGCGCGAAATATAAACAAAACATACTTGATAACTTATTAAAGTAAAGTTTGCTTGGTCAATGTGAAGTTGTTGGTGTTAAAATTAACTAATTAACTAAATAATTCAAAGGTAAGTTCCTTAACTTCGTCAATTAATTGTGAGTTCCAAAATTAAACAAGTTTTTTGAATATCAATGGTTGTGAGTATATTACATATTTATAACGATAAAAAGCGGGAAATGACTGTTTTATTTTTATTTTTAAGAATAATTATAATTGTACCACGAGTGCGAACTAGTGGTGAACAGTTTTTGATCCTTTTGGAGTTCATGGAAAGGTAAGGAATTATTCACCTAAACCATGAACTAGATTAAATTCAAATAACTTGAGAATGCTCCATATAAACAATGACGTGATTCTAACAATCAGTTACTTATTGGCTAATTCCTTGTTCAATTGCAGTTACGGCGATCTATCAAATCCCCGAAGTGGGCCTCAAGGGCGCTTGAAATCCGAGCGGCTGTGGTGCACGTTCGCAACAATATTGAACTCAATTGGTGGTGGAGTAAATAAATTGGCAGAAGAATGGAAAAAGGTACAAATTAAACAGCTATATATGGTCATAAGCACTTTATGCTTTACTTTATCTTTAACTTAACCACCTACTATTTATTAAACACTATTATTCATTACTTAACTTTCCTACATATTGATTAATTCATTTCGAAGGATTGGGCAGAATGGAAGTAAAAAAAAACATGGATAATAAGGCGTCATGCAAGTGGTACTGGTGGTGTGCCGAGTAGTCGCCAAACCTTCACGACTTTTGAGGAGAGGGAAATTTGACTGTGGAGGGTCATTCCAGTATTCAGAAACAGTGCTTCGTAAGTGTTGCACTATATTCATTTATAATTCAGAGTTAACTGATTACTTGAATATTTAAAAACGTGTACCTACTTATATCATTAAATGAGTAATATCACTAGAGGTTTTTATATGTTATGTTATAGTTAGGTACAACTTAAACGAAGATTTAAAGTATTTTTTTTTAGGGAATATCATAACTCATCCTATCGCCAACACAGGCCCTGAGTCTACCACTGGCCTACAATATGCAATTGATTTTACAATCGCAACAGCCGATCGTACGTCTATCCACCTACAACTAAATATTATATAAATAATTTATCAACTAGGTATTCGGTATTCAAGTTCATTTTTTTACAGAATCTGAAGAGAGAGAAGAAGATGTACTAGCTGGCAGCCATCGCACTCAAACACCCTCACACAGACATCAACATTATACAATCAATCTGCGAGAAAGAGTTCAAGGGTGCAGCATGCACCTTCTACTCCGCCATCTACCAGCAGGCGACGGTTACTATCAACCCCGAGATCTGGGGTAACGGCTTCCCCTGCACGAAGGACGCTAAGGGCGCGCCGGAGGCGTACACTCGCGCAATTCAATAGAACAACAAGCGAGTTCGTTGCCATCGAACATCTACGTCTTCGGCAGGAGGAGAAACGAGACAGGTAGTTTTGAGATCTGGAGACTCGTAGAATAGAGGTTGACCATGAGCATAATCAAGCGTTATGCATGTTTACAGATATTACACTAACATGGTTTGACCACTATCGGAGTAAAGACAATACAGAGCAATTAGATCATACTCCCTAGGTACGTAATTCATCATGCCTGTATTCCACGGAAGGTTAGGCAGAGTTGTACTGTACACCCACATTTCGCCAATTATGTCACAATCCCAATGTAATAGGGGGTGAGCTTAGACACAAATTCAGACTCCAAGCTGCTACTGAGAAATTCCTAATGAAAAGCTCAATAACACTGCCCGACTTTATCCGCGACCTCACGCTTAGATATAGACTACTATTGAAATTCGTCCGTAAAACTAGTTTAAGATAATGTTAGAAATAATTTATTTTCAACTGATTTAAAGATTTTTAAATTTAGTAGTAATTGCATTTATTTTTAGTACTGATAATATTTTAAGTTTACTTAAAGTTTAATATTGTGATTTATTTAGTAGATGGTTAAGTGTATGGAGATAGTTATAAAAGTTATTATTCAAGTAGGTCCAATAAAATAAAGGAGTTGTGAGAATTATAACTTTTTTATTTGACTATTTTTTATTTTATAAGTGGTAGAGCCATGCTGCAATTATATTAGTAGTATAGTTGTAGCCCGAATGGGTCGACTGGACCGGGAAGGACCGCGCTCTCACATAATACCAGCGTAAAATAGTAGCTTAATGCTGCTGTGTTTCGTATGGTGAGTGTTAGAGAACCACAGACCCTTTTTACAGGGAATGAGACATTTCATCTTTGTCCTCACGAGTGACAATGCATCTGCATTTTGATTTGTTATCGAGGATATATGTAGATATCTATGGACCACAGCAACCACTTACCATCAGGTGGACTGTGTGCTCGTTTGCCAATCTGTTCTATAAAAAACATCCAGAATGGATACAAAAATGATGGCTGAAAAAGTGTGAAAGGAAAGTGCTATGTACGCCACCGACCCCAATCAAGTTAGGACAAGCACAGGTGAATGATGACACCCAATAAAAATATTTAAAATGTCGTCTCTATAAATGTAGAGACTGATTTATAAATTGATTGGTCAATCCCACTGAAAACATTACAACCAAAAAATGCAAGTCTCGCAATGAAATCCTTATACCACAAAAAGTTCCGAGATCTAATGTACAAACATAAGCTAGTAAAAAAACTTGTAAAAGGAATGGTCACATCACGTTATACTTTTTTAATAGTAAGTTTCCTAGTCCAACCAAGAAACAAATAAAACATTTAGTAATTTTTTTTACATAAGTATTTGTCTGTTTAACTAACAATAAATAATATTTAACAACTGGGTAAAATAATTCACACAGTTGAACAATTACGCTCGCTATAATGTTCAGTTAATAAATATAGATACTGTTTGTGTAAATCATTGCAAAGCCGCCGAAAGGTGCTCTTTCAAACGTAAATATGTACAACAACCAGTAACTCGGGCATATCTTCCCTAGTAGTAGTAGCCCTTAGTAAATGCAACGTATGCATTTTTATAAAAAATTTGCGAGAAACGAGCATGAATTGATGCAAATAATACTAACAGCTGACTAACAATCAGCCATGTTGTTTTGCTTTTCTAAAGGGTTTAAGCGTTCCCTAAGTTGTCAAATGAACGGTGTGACTTCTCAGCGATTTCGAATGTCAAAAGTTCCACTTGTCTATGCGTTGCTAAGGAATCATCGTTCGTGATAATGGTTTTCTTTATCTTTTTGTTACGCTGGTTGACATTCTCCAGCAATTAGCGATCGATAACGAACGATCACGTGATATTTCGAAAGCTTATGTCAGTTTCATACATTTCTGAGTTGTCTAATACGTTCGTTATCATCAATGAAAATGTGACTTTGTCTGGGGCCTCTGGTAGCACAATTTTACACTTCCCTAAGGCGTCAATATTGCAGTAATATGTTTTGTATTTGGTGATGAATTTGGTTCCTTTGGGTTATATGGTGTGGGTAGAGCTATGTTATGAAACAAGATACAATTTTATTATTTATAATATATATAAATAATATATATATATATATATATATATATATATATATATATATATATGTTTGTATGTATAACAAATAATCTTACAGTCTTAAAATGAAATGTATATTCTTAATATCTGAAGAATCAGGCAATACTAAATAATTAGATATCTGCAGTTATCGGCAAGCTCTCGGTATACCTGCTGTGTCGTTATAACGTCTGGATGTAAAATATCTTTACTACTAAATAAAATTACATTTATGATATCTTCTAATTGAAAATATAGTGTAAGAATTGAGGTTTCTAAAATGTCAAATTTTTTATTAATATTAATAGATATTTTTAGACCATTAGTTATTTCAGAAATATTTTAAGTGTCAATAGAGAGATTGTCGATAACTGTTATTAATTTTGCTTCATTTATTTTTATTGTATTTAATGTATTTTATTTTATGTTATTTATAATTAGTAACTAAAATATTTTAATCCAAAAAATAGCCAATTGTTCTTAACCATTTTGTGCAGATGTTATTCCTTCACCATACTTTGAAGCGTCGTCTTCATCTAGAGTACCAAAAATATCACTGTCCCAATACCAATACCAACACGCTTAGCTCTGTTATCTAATAAGTGTGAGATGGATTTAAAATCGTACAAGGATTTTAAATGTGGCCCTGGTTACGTTATGGTTGAAGCGCGTGCTTCCTATATTTCTTATGTGGGGAACAAAATGTGAGATATTTATCGGAATTAACGTTACATCATGAATAAGTCAGCTCAACCAAGAAAGTCCCCTCTTGCATAGAATAACAGTGTGAAAGAACAGCATAATGCTGCTTCGTATGATAGCTGACGAGAACCAGAGACCCTTTTTTACTGGTAGCGATACATTTCGTCTCTTCAAACTTGACATTGCATCTGCATTTTGATTCCTAATCGAAGGTAAATGTGAGTATCTTATGGGTCACGGCATTCACATACTATCAGGTGAATTGTATGCTAACTTATCATCCTTACTTGTAAAATTAAAGTAAAGTTACATGCTTATTACTTCCTACACCTGAAAACAGGACTCCTGTTATTTTGTAAGGTATTTGGTGAACTTAACATGTCTTCAAAATATTTTTTAGTTCTAAGTCATTCATCTTTTCCCACGATATTTTCCTTCAACGTCGATCACGTGGTAATGAGCACCAACAATTGCATTAACAGTTGCGGCTACGGAATAAAATATGTAAATAATTTAAAAACTTGCACTAGAAGATGCACGAGTAAGGCGGATACCATATGGTCTGACACAAATGGTTACGTTGCCTACACGGATTCCAGAAGTGGAAGATCATACACTTCCCTGTTAGAGCTTCTGTTGACCTTTCATGTGAACGAATATCAGGTTTCCATCGATGCGTCTCTGGGCTCCACGGACCATTGCCTAGTTCGAAGTGTGTTGCCACGTCACGCTGAAATCGCGGTTGCATTCTGCAGGCTTCTGCCGTGTTTAGCACTATAGGTCGGCCCATTGGCATGAGATGCGGCCTTTTTTGCATCCTACCCATGGGAGTTTGCTTCTCGCCGAACGATCCCAGCGTTGTTGCTGATTCTGTCGCTGATATACTGTGGTACTTCAGGGTATGGAACGTTTTATTCCGTCCTCTGTGGTGCCCATCGGAGACAAAACCGAGCCATGGTTTGGCCACTCCAGTAAAATAGCATCACACTGGCCTGGGCTTACGCATCGACATATCGGGATGTCAATACCAGCACTCTTAAAAAGAAGTATAATTTCGCCAACAGTTCCTTTAAAAATAGTCATTGCCAAGGCAAGGTTTGAGCACATCGGCTGATTTGGCGAGAAGATAGTTCGCCTTTATTTAGGAACCCGTGCATCCTGGTCTCTTGTCAAGGCTATCCCAAGGAACTTCTGTCAGTTATCTCTTCCATCTCTGCACAGAGAGGGTGACGCAGTGGCCGATGTGGCAAATGAGAAAGCCGATCTGTTAGGCTCTCTCTTTGCGTCCAACTCGACTCTCGACAATAACGGGGGGAACACACCGCCGACCATCCCACGGTGTGAGTGCTTCATGCCAGATGTTGCCACTCTTCTCCCTGGACGTCAGTAAGTCTAGTGGGCTTGACGGAGTCCCTCCAATTGTGCTGAAGTCATGTACTCCGGAGTTGGCACCGGTTTTAAGGCGTCTTTTTCGGTACTCCTACTCCCAAAGCGTAGTCCCAAATTCTTGGAAGATAGCTTTGGTCCACCTGATCGCTAAAAAAAGGCAACCCGTCCAACTACAGGCCTGTCGCCATCACCTCCTTGTTCTCCAAAATAATGGAGTCTTTTGTAAAATGCCAGCTCATGAGGTACTTTTAGGATCACCAGCTGTTCAGTGACCCCTAATACGGTTTCCGTTTTGGTCAATCAGCTGGTGATCTTCTGGTCTACCTTACTTATAGATGGGCAGAGGCAGTAGAGTCTCTGCTGCATGTCGATGATATGTTACAAACTGGTAACATTATTTGCTATGTAGACGACAGCACTGGAGATGCCTTATACACCGGCCGTGCCAATATTTCTAGGGAAAACTTAGGCTAGTACCAGAACAAACTCTCGGCTTGGGGGTGACTAAGTCTAGTCCAATTCAATCCCTAGAAAACACCAGTCGCGCGTTAACCGCTCAAAAGAACCCCTTTATCGTATCTCCTCCATTTGAAGGCACTCCCCTTGCTACCTCAGCTAGCATCTGAATTCTCGGCATTGACATATCGTATAGTGTGCGGTTTTGTGGTGACTGAAGGAAAGGCCAAATTGTCTTCTAAAAGCTTTGCGTGC